TACAGGGTGTTCCAATTCAGCTTCATTAAATACGTCTTAACGTTAGCAACACAGGGTGTTCCAATTCAGCATTCATTTACGTCTAACGTTAGCAAATACAGGGTGTTCCAATTCAGCTTCATTAAATACGTCTAACGTTAGCAACATGCAGGGTGTTCCAATTCAGCTTCATTAAATACGTCTAACGTTAGCAACATACAGGTGTTCCAATTCAGCTTCATTAAATACGTCTAACGTTAGCAACATACAGGGTGTTCCAATTCAGCTTCATTAAATACGTCTAACGTTAGCAACATGCAGGGTGTTCCAATTCAGCTTCATTAAAACGTCTAACGTCTAACGTTAGCAACATACAGGGTGTTCTAATTCAGCTTCATTAAATACGTCTAACGTTAGCAACAGGGTGTTCCAATTCAGCTTCATTAAATACGTCTAACGTTAGCAACATACAGGGTGTTCCAATTCAGCTTCATTAAATACGTCTAACGTTAGCAACATACAGGTGTTCCACCAGCTTCATTAAATACGTCTAACGTTAGCAACATGCAGGGTGTTCCAATTCAGCTTCATTAAATACGTCTAACGTTAGCAACATACAGGGTGTTCCAAATACTTCATTAAATACGTCTAACGTTAGCAACATGCAGGGTGTTCCAATTCAGCTTCATTAAATACGTCTAACGTTAGCAACATACAGGGTGTTCCAATTCAGCTTCATTAAATACGTCTAACGTTAGCAACATACAGGTGTTCCAATTCAGCTTCATTAAATACGTCTAACGTTAGCAACATGCAGGGTGTTCCAATTCAGCTTAACATTAGCAAATACAGGGTGTTCCAACGTTAGTCAACGTTAGCAACAGGGTGTTCCAATTCAGCTTCATTAAATACGTCTAACGTTAGCAAACAGGGTGTTCAATCAGCTTCATTAAATACGTTCCAATTGCAGGGTGCAATTTCATTAAATACGTCTAACGTTAGCAACATGCAGGGTGTTCCAATTCAGCTTCATTAAATACGTCTAACGTTAGCAACATACAGGGTGTTCCAATTCAGCTTCATTAAATACGTCTAACGTTAGCAACATACAGGGTGTTCCAATTCAGCTTCATTAAATACGTCTAACGTTAGCAACATGCAGGGTGTTCAATTCAGCTTCATTAAATACGTCTAACGTTAGCAACATACATGCAGGTGTTCCAATTCAGCTTCATTAAATACGTTCTAACGTTAGCAACATACAGGGTGTTCCAATTCAGCTTCATTAAATACGTCTAACGTTAGCAACATACAGGGTGGGTGTTCCAATTCAGCTTCATTAAATACGTCTAACGTTAGCAACATACAGGGTGTTCCAATTCAGCTTCATTAAATACGTCTAACGTTAGCAACATGCAGGGTGTTCCAATTCACAGGGTGTTCCATTCGGTTTCATTAAATACGTCTAACGTTAGCAACATACAGGTGTTCCAATTCAGCTTCATTAAATACGTCTAACGTTAGCAAAATACGTGCGTTAGCAACATACAGGTGTTCCAATTCAGCTTCATTAAATACGTCTAACGTTAGCAACATACAGGGTGTTCCAATTCAGCTTCATTAAATACGTCTAACGTTAGCAACATACAGGGGTGTTCCAATTCAGCTTCTAATTAAATACGTCTAACGTTAACGTTAGCAACATGCAGGGTGTTCCAATTCAGCTTCATTAAATACGTCTAACGTTAGCAACATACAGGGTGTTCCAATTCAGCTTCATTAAATACGTCTAACGTTAGCAAAACATACAGGGTGTTCCAATTCAGCTTCATTAAATACGTCTAACGTTAGCAACAACAGGTGTTCCAATTCAGCTTCATTAAATACGTCTAACGTTAGCAACATACAGGGTGTTAAATTCAGCTTCATTAAAACGTTCAGCTTCATTAAATACGTCTAACGTTAGCAACATACAGGGTGTTCCAATTCAGCTTCATTAAATACGTCTAACGTTAGCAACATACAGGGTGTTCCAAATTCAGCTTCATTAAATACGTCTAACGTTAGCAACATACAGGGTGTTCCAATTCAGCTTCATTAAATACGTCTAACGTTAGCAATACAGGGTGTTCCAATTCAGCTTCATTAAATACGTCTAACGTTAGCAACATACAGGGTGTTCTAAATTCAGCTTCATTAAATACGTCTAACGTTAGCAACATACAGGGTGTTCCAATTCAGCTTCATTAAATACGTCTAACGTTAGCAACATACAGGGTGTTCCAATTCAGCTTCATTAAATACGTTAACGTTAGCAACAAATTAAATACGTCTAACGTTAGCAACATAATAGGGTGTTAGCATTAAATACGTCTAAGGGTGTTCCAATTCAGCTTCATTAAATACGTCTAACGTTAGCAACATACAGGGTGTTCCAATTCAGCTTCATTAAATACGTCTAACGTTAGCAACATTGCAGGGTGTTCCAATTCAAGTGTTCATTAAATACGTCTAACGTTAGCAACATACAGGGTGTTCCAATTCAGCTTCATTAAATACGTCTAACGTTAGCAACATGCAGGGTGTTCCAATTCAGCTTCATTAAATACGTCTAACGTTAGCAACATGCAGGGTGTTCTAACGTTAGCAACATTCATTAAATACGTTAAATAGCAACATACAGGTGTTCCAACAGTTCATTAGCAGGTGTTCCAAACATGCAGGGTGTTCCAATTCAGCTTCATTAAATACGTCCAACGTTAGCAACATACAATTCAGCTTCTAACGTTAGCAACAACGTTAGCAACATACAGGGTGGTGTTCTAACGTTAGCAAATTCAATTCAGCTTCATTAAATACGTCTAACATTAAATAAACGTCTAACGTTAGCAACATAGGGTGTTCCAATTCAGCTTCATTAAATACGTCTAACGTTAGCAACATACAGGGTGTTCCAATTCAGCTTCATTAAATACGTCTAACGTTAGCAACATACAGGGTGTTCCAATTCAGCTTCATTAAATACGTCTAACGTTAGTTCAACATATTAAACGTTCTAACGTTCAGCTTCATTAAATACGTCTTAACGTTAGCAACATACAGGTGTTCCAACGTTAGGTGTTCCAATTCAGCTTCATTAAATACGTCTAACGTTAGCAACATACAGGGTGTTCCAATTCAGCTTCATTAAATACGTCTAACGTTAGCAACATACAGGGTGTTCCAATTCAGCTTCATTAAATACGTCTAACGTTAGCAACATACAGGGTGTTCCATTAAATTCAGCTTCATTAAATACGTCTAACGTTAGCAACATACAGGTGTTCAATTCAGCTTCATTAAAACGTCTAACGTTAGCAACATGCAGGGTGTTCCAATTCAGCTTCATTAAATACGTCTAACGTTAGCAACATGCAGGTGTTCCAATTCAGCTTCATTAAATACGGTGTTCCAATTAACGTAACGTTAGCAACATGCAGGGTGTTCAATTCAGCTTCATTAAATACGTCTAATTCATGCAGGGTGTTCCAATTCAGCTTCATTAAATACGTCTAACGTTAGCAACATACAGGTAACGTTAGCAACATCAGGGTGTTCATTAAATTCATTAAATACGTCTAACGTTAGCAACATACAGGGTGTTCCAATTCAGCTTCATTAAATACGTCTAACGTTAGCAACATACAGGGTGTTCCAATTCAGCTTCATTAAATACGTCTAACGTTAGCAAACATGCAGGGTGTTCCAATTCAGCTTCATTAAATACGTCTAACGTTAGCAACATGCAGGTGTTCAGCTTCATTAAATACGTCTAACGTTTCATTAAATACGTCTAACGTTAGCAACATACAGGGTGTTCCAATTCAGCTTCATTAAATACGTCTAACGTTAGCAACATACAGGGTGTTCCAATTCATTCATTAAATACGTCTAACGTTAGCAACATGCAGGGTGTTTAAATTAAATACGTCTAACGTTAGCAACATGCAGGGTGTTCCTAACGTTAGCAACATGCAGGTGTTCAATTCAGCTTCATTAAATACGTCTAACGTTAGCAACATGCAGGGGGTGTTCCAATTCAGCTTCATTAAATACGTCTAACGTTAGCAACAGCTTCATTAAATACGTCTAACGTTAGCAACATGCAGGGTGTTCCAATTCAGCTTCATTAAATACGTCTAACGTTAGCAACATGCAGGGTGTTCCAATTCAGCTTCATTAAATACGCTCAACGTTACGTCAACAATGCAGGGTGTTCCAATTCAGCTTCATTAAATACGTCTAACGTTAGCAACATGCAGGGTGTTCCAATTCAGCTTCATTAAATACGTCAACAACATGGGTGTTCTTCATTAAATACGTCTAACGTTCATTAAATACGTTAAAACGTTAACGTTAGCAACATACAGGGTGTTCCAATTCAGCTTCATTAAATACGTCTAACGTTAGCAACATACAGGGTGTTCCAATTCAGCTTCATTAAATACGTCTAACGTTAGCAACATACAGGGTGTTCCAATTGTTCATTAAATACGTCTAACGTTATTAAATACAGGTGTTAACGCTTCATTTACGTCTAACGTTAGCAACATAGGGTGTTCCAATTCAGCTTCATTAAATACGTCTAACGTTAGCAACATACAGGGTGTTCCAATTCAGCTTCATTAAATACGTCTAACGTTAGCAACATACAGGGTGTTCCAATTCAGCTTCATTAAATACGTCTAACGTTAGCAACATACAGGGTGTTCCAAAGGTCACGTGACAATTGGCAGAAAACATACACTTGTGAAATAGCAACCAGGGAAAATTTGCATGATATCATCTTCCATAATTCGACCAATAAAATTTCTTAATAATATATTGTCACATACAGAAACATGATTCCTTTTGTTAAATAAATATAAAACTTCCAAGGTTATCAATGGTACTGCGACTTTTGGAATAGCCTGTACATTGGCGCTCAGATCTGTGAATTGTTCGGCATGATATGTTGATACAAGTTTTTAAACGAAATTCAAATGTTACGTCATACGACAAAAATAAAAACAATCTACTTCCTCCAGTTGACCGTTATATTAACCGATATTCACCGGAGTACCACGTCGCTTGGTGGAGAAAATAATAAATACCGCTTCCTTCCCGCCCAAAACATATTACCGCTTCCTTCCCGCCCAAAACATATTACCTATCCAGACAGGGTCAGTAAAATTTGTGATAAGACAACGAAATAAAACGAAATATTAATAATATTCACAGTGTTATCAGAAGTAGTTCCCATAATAGTTTATATTTTATCAGTTAAAATAAGATGTTCTTTTTCGTTTTTCGCTTCGTCAGTTATATGTTGATATTTGTTTTTACAGATTGAATCGAATTTCGACGTTGAGGAGGCGAAACAATGTGTCGGGTGGCTACAGAGAGTTGCTGGAGACAGTGTTCCTATTGAATTTCCCGAGGAGAGACGCAAGGCCATGGACGTCTTCTATAACTCCTTGAAAGACGGCATGTTGCTTATTCAGTGAGTATAATAAATAAGAGCTTTAGATAAGAACGGCGAGACTGGTTTTACATATCTCGAAGGCGTTTGGCAGGGTTTGACGTGTAGACGTTCTTCACAAGATGAAGGGCTATGGTGTATTCGGTTAAATTTTTCATTTGATACAATCTTTCTTTACAAATCGTATAATGAAATTTGCATTGAAGGGTCAGTTTCTAGATCCTTTCGTATTTACAGAGGCCCCTCAGGACTCTAACCATAACCTACTTTATTTCTTATCTTCATCAATGAGCTTCCTGGTTTCATCAGTTCTCAAGACGGTATTTATGCTGGTGACACAACTATTCACTCTTTTAATAGTAAGTCCGATAGTGTCCGACGAAGTAAAACTGGCAGCTGACCTCGAATATGACCTCCAATCAGTTGTTAACTGGGGCAAGAAATAGCTTGTAAATCTTAACACATACAAAACAAAACTGCTATCTTTTAGTCATCTTAGAGAACTATTTTTGACTTCCATCAGCATGGCTGATGCTAACCTCCAGAAGAGCAACTCATTTCTCCAGACGTGAAGTGAAATGATTATATTGAATCAACCGTTAAGTCTGTTGTTAGGAAAGTTGATTCCCTGTGATTCGCCAGATAATTTTTCTCTGCTGAATCCATCTGGCACGTTTATAGATCTACCATTTTTCCGTGCATTGAATATTTCTGGCACATCTGGTCTGGTGTTCCTGCTCGGCATTCTCGACAAAATCCCTTAAAGTGTAAGTAATGTTGTCTTCCATGATCTTGCATCTCAATATCAGTCATTTTCAAACGGCCGTAACGTAGTTTTCTGCTGTTGTTTTTTCATGGTAATCTTTCTAATGAGCTACTGAATATACTAGATGGGAATAGACAACTCAACACCGTCGACTGAACACCGTTTACTCAACGCCGGGACAACTCAGGACCGAGACAACTCAGCACCAGAAAAATATAACTTTTTTTAATAACCGAATAAAAATAATTTATTAAGGCTAAAACCTTACTTTGTGAATATTTTTCTTCAAATAATGCATTTGAAAAGCATTATGTAAAATATAAACCATTTTTTTGTTTTTAATTATTGCGAATAAAGTAAATCGTAATGTAATTTAATTTTTAATAAAAAAATTATTACAAGATTTGTTTTCATTTTTTTACAGTTTTAAATTGAATAATTTATAAAGTTTTTAAATCTTTTAAAATTCGTTTTCAATGTGAAAATTCTTGGGAAATATTGTTATTAAGTAAAACTATGTTTACTAATTATATATTGTAAAGCTTATTACAATCTAATGACCTGAAATATTTTCAAAAGAATTTCGATTTGTTTTTGTATGTATGATTACGTGCAGCATTTCTGAAGTATGGATGTACAAACCGATAAATCTATCATAATCTATCATTAAAAGGTCACGTGTTTAAAAGGTTGTCCTCCACTTACGGAAAAAAAAACCTTCATATAAAATTTATCGTTTGCTCCACCATACCTAACTATGAACACGTTCGGCTGTCAATCCGCTGTCAATAAATCGATTAACCCGTCAGAAAAACAAAACCCTGTAGTTAAGAAATGTTTGTATACAACATTTTATGCTATAAGTAAGTAATATTTATTTCAAGTCAGATGAATTTAACTTGAAATTTGCTAATTTTCCTCAAATAATGTTTCAGAAATGATAGCAGCTCGGATTGAGGAATCGGAGAGCCGAGTTCGAATTCCAGTCGAATCTATTACATTCACTTACGTGCTAATACCTTTGGGAAAGGTATGAATCCTCTTCTCCCCCGCCAACTATGGGTGAATAGCAGGACAGACTGGGTTCTGTAGCCATGGGTGGCAACTGGTCTACCGCAGAAAGAAATGGCAACCCGCTGCGGGAAAATTCTGTTTCGTCAGTCATATATCGAAAGATAGATGATCGCCTAAGCGTGTATCACGCATGACACATAACTGACTGACGGATATTTTTTTGAAAGATTTTTAAAACTGAGAATTAACTTTTGTTTACAGATGTGTCAAACATGGCCGTTTTGATCGATTTTACTGAAAAAAAAAAAAATTCTGATCAATATAATTTCTGTTTAGAATACACCACATATTATTTTGCTTACTGTAAATTGTAAATTTTAAATACTCTAGCTTTCAATTAAAGCTAAAATTAAAGCTTCAAGAAAGCCTTTTCATTTTTAAAAATGCATTTTAAAACTTACATATAACGAATTAGTGGAGGTACCTAGTTATAAATATATTTGGAAACTTGGTCTCATGTCACGTTATGTTTTCTACTTAATAAATATTAGTGTTATGTTCCAATACATATGCTTTTAACTTAAAAGTTTACAGACAACACTACCAATGACATGTAATGTTTAAGATTAGTCTGAGATATATTATAGCTTCCTGGAAATTCTTTTTTCTCAGACATTTTTACTTCATCTTATATGGGCTTCAGATATGACAGCCCGAGTGATTTTGGTAAGACCTGTTTAAATTTGTTATCCACAAGAAGAAATGAAATATGCCATTTGAAATAACATTTTCATAATTCATTTGCATTTAAATTTAACGGTTCAAAGAATACCAAGAATAATGATCGGACCCCCATACATATTCACCTCATCAAATCTGGACCTCTTTGAAAAATGTTTGGATACCCCTGCTCTAAAGTATAAGCTTTCTCCTTGTTTGCATCCTCTCCAAAACATCATCTTTGCCCACACGCTCGATCCATGATATCCTTAGCATCCTTCTGTAGAACCATACCTACTTTGCCTCAAGTCTTCATCTTTGAGGAGACCATCCAACATTCGCTGCCGTAAAGGAGGACAGATGTCACGTAGTAACTCAGTACTCTTTTCTTTGTTACCAAAGAAATCCTCCTGTCTCGTAATACTCTCCCTAGCTTTTGGAATGCGTCTTTGGCCATCCCAATACGTCTTCGGACCTCAGCGTTGCACTTACCGTCCTCTGTCAGAACACTTCCCAAACTATTTATCATGCTTTGGCAGCCTATTTAAAGCCAGAATATATTTTTAGACTGTATGTGTTGTTTTTTTTATGTAATAATAAATGGGATAATAATAAGTTGGAAGGTGACTGAAGCTGAGCCGCCAGATCAGGACCAATAATATTGCAGATTCTTGTTTAGATCTTATCCAGAACCTCAAGATAAATAACATGGGCACCGGATCATATATTTTAGCGATATTCTAAGCATGGACGAATTTCTAATTTCTGTAATTTGACCATAGCTATATTTCATTACCGATTTCATAGATTAAAATAGATGTTTTGATTTAATAAATCCATACATGTGCGTTCTGTCCAGAATCTTTAATCCTTAAGGATTCATACTTTTTTTTCTGTTGCGGTGTAAAGTGGAATTTGCATCTTCAGTGTTGAAATCAAACGGTTTATTCTTTTATTTCCAGCGGTGTGAATTCTGCACTTGCCCCTGATCAGAAATTGGATTTGAGCAAGAAAACCTTTCAACTTACAGACAATGAAATATTTAAGACATCTCGGGAAAGGGAGAGAATTGATATCTTCTTGAACAAATGTCTTGATGTCGGTGTTTCAGAGCCGACCTTATTCCAAATTGACTGTCTTTACGAACGTACGAATCTCCCACAAGTCATGGGGACAATACGCTGTCTTGGAATCGAAGTAAGTTTTCAAATTTACTCATCTTTACAGATTTTAAAAGTAAGATAAGCTATCTGTCTATATTTCTGAGGTGAGGTATTGTAACTATTTACACTATTTACATTGTTTGGACTGTTGTCCTCATCTTTATTGTCGTATTCACAATGTTTCAGCCATTGTACGCTCCAGCTTTCTTCAGAATCAATCTATATTTCTGAGATGAAGTATTGTAACTATTTACACTATTTACATTGTTTGTTCCACGTGCCATGCCTTTTTCTGGATATCTCAGTTTCAGTTATTTCCCTTTAGAAACTCTAGAAGTTTTTGTTCACCTCTTCTGTGGCCAGGTATTGAATTCACAACTCTTTGGGTCAAGTCATTGGATTACTTCAACCGACGCTTTTAATCATTTTATACATGGAACTAGAAAAATATAAGAGGACGAAATAAAGGGTTCGGTTTGAGATTCCATCATATATCACTTGAAGAAGACCGGAAACGGGAATATGAAAGCAAAGATGAGGACAACAGTCTGAACGATGTAAATAGTGTAAATAAAATAAACTGGCCTTTACGATTGTAATTTTAGCATTTTTTACGAGGCCTAAACGTCATATCATGATGAAAAATTACAATTTTTTTAATGTAATATTTCTTCAAAAAGCGGCTGATCAAAGATCTCTCCATGTTTTTTCCCCTTTATTATATATACATCGCCAGCAAAAAAATGTAGACATCACAAAAAAAAAAAAAATAACCACCTGGCGTATTATATTGTAAAATTGTGTTAAGTTAAAGCGGAGATAAAAAATAAAATAAAATTGCATCTATGAGTAAAGGTTACTTTCAAAGGGAAATTACTCCGGCATAAGATAAGACGAAATAATTAAGAGTTATCTACCTTGCTTCATTGTACAAAAGCTGTTGTCACCTGTGCAATTTTTTAATTTATTTTTTCATATATATAAAGTTTGAGGACACCACTGGTAATTTTTAAATTGGACCAAAAAGTATTTTTTTGTACTTTAAATAAGAGAAAATTATTATACAAAAAAGTGAGACTTTATTTTTTTATTATTAAAGATTTTATTATGACAAAAAGAAAAGAAATATGATTAAATTTTTCTCTTTCAAATTATCCTCCTTTAGCCTTGATTACTGCAGCACAAATTTTTGGCGCTCGTTGCAAAAATTTCCCAAAGTATAAATTTGATAGTTGACTCTATTCTCTTTTCAAAGACTCTAAGAGCTCTTTTTTCATTTTGAATGGAGAGGTTAAACTCGTCTGTCAAGTTCATCCCATGCTAATTCTGTTGGTAACTGCAAACTTTTGAACTGTAGTGCGTATATATATATATATATATATATATATATATATATATATATATATATATATATATATATATATATATATATATATATATATATATATATATATATATATATGTATGTGTGCATGTATATTTATATTTAATATTAATTTTAGCGCTATTATTATGCACCAAGCACTGTTTTATTAGTACCAGCACTCAATGGGTGATATATATATATATATATATATATATATATATATATATATATATATATATATATATATATATATATAGTTTATGGAAAACTAGGTAATCCGTATGGGTAGATAATTTATAATATATTACATGGAACCTTAACGTGGTCTGTTTTTATTTTAAATATATATATATATATATATATATATATATATATATATATATATATATATATATATATATATATATAAAATAAAGTTAATTGGTAATCCGTATGAATAATTCCAGGAGGATATAAATCCTGAGAGCTCAATGTAATAACATAGCAAGTGTTAATTATTAACAAATCGGAGACTTTAGAAAGAATTCGATTTCGCTATGTCAGACTTGGCAGTTTTAAAACAATGAATGGATTCAAAAATTCTTTCGTTTTAACTCATAAATAAAAATACCTTAAAACTATATTTTATCATATATATATATATATGTGTGTGTGTGTGTGTATGTGTGTGTGTGTGTGTGCATGTATGTGTGTGTGTATGTGCAAACATAACAAAAAAAGACAAAATATAAATAAAAGTGAAAAGGAAAACTATTCTTTGCCAACGTGTTTTGTCCCCTGAGGAATATTATCGAAGTAAATATAGATATTCTATTTTGTAACTTGTTTTATACTCAGAAATAAAGAGGCAAAGAGTAAAGAGGAGAAAAAGTACTGTTAAATTTTCGAACTTTAATTTTGAGAACACTCTAAAACATTCTTAAAGTTTGATGTGCAAGAAAAGATGAACTATGGATGACCCTAAGTGATGTGATTTAGAGCCTAATAAACGAAAGTCAGTAAATTTTGAATTTTTATTATTTATTTATTTATTTTATTTAATTATTATTGTGTTTTGTTTATTTATTTATTTTAAAAAAAATATATATATATATATATATATATATATATTATTTTTTTAAATAAATAAATTAATACAAAAAATATATATATATATATATATATATATATATATGAAAATATATAGAAAATAGGAAGGAACTGGTTAGGTAAATAATCCAAAGTCCCTTAGTATTTTAGTTATTATTTTTAAAAAATAGTGCTCGATACAAAAGTAGAGCATAAATATAATTATTTATTTAAAAATATTTTTAAATAAATGTTTTTAATAAATATTTTTAAATAAATTTTAAATAAATTTTATATAAATAATTATATATATATATATATATATATATATATATATATATATATATAAAATAAATTAATTAATACAAAAATAAATAAACAAAACAAAACACAATAATAATTAAATAAAAAAATAATATATATATTGATAATTGTGATTAATTTTATGGAAATGTAAAAATTTTCAACTTAAACATTTTTTAGAGTAATATTTAGTCATGAAAATATTCGTGTTTATTACAAAATTAATAATATTTTCTCAGATAAAAAAAACCAAAAAAAACTAGTCATTATAAAATTAAATAATTAATGAATATGTACTAAAATTTTCATTTAAATTGGACATTTCCTTGATTTTTGGTAATTTAAAAAAGCGTTGGTCTCTCTCCTCCCAATTTTCCATTTGAGGGTTTGTGGCCCTCAGGTTGGGAAATTTTGAAATCGACATGTAGTAGAGAGGAGGCCCCGTATCAAAGTTTCGTGGGATGGGGGAAGCGGGCGAGACCCTAGCGCCGGCCCTGATAACAGGGTCTGGGGAGATAACTTCATTACTCCAAAAAGCTACAGATATCAGACGGAAAAATATACCAACACGCTTGGCATATTATATATAGAGATAATAGCAACAACACGTCTCAGAAATTCAACGAGAAATTAGTTGTTTATCTCGTTAATTAAATGAATATTTCGTTTGTGAATGTTTAAAACTATTATTGTATTTTTCATTTTCTTTTTTTTTTTAGGCCCAAACAAAACCATGGTATGAGGGTCCACAGGCGTGGCCGAAGAAATCAAGTGAACTGATTGAAAAATTATCTAGGAAGCCACAAAAACAAAAACGAGCCCCAGGTCTTGATATAGGAATAGAATTCAACAGAAGCAAGGTACCTGGTGGTCCACCTGCTCCCACTCCTGCTCCGGCTCGCGCTCACGTTGCGCATGTGGAACCTGAATCCGAGCCGGTGGCAGTCGTGGATGATTCAATGAACGACAGCGAATACAGCATCGTGATTGGCTGATGAAAAGATGACGTTGAGTGTTAACAAGACGCAGCCACCACATCTACCGTCGTCGCTGCTGCCGCTGCCGCTGTTTCCACTGCTAATCTGCCAACATCCTTTCTGAGATTTCACACAAGTATGACTCACTACACAGCGCATGATAATGCACCACTTCCAAATGCTTTGTCCACAGTAGACATCTGTCTTTTCTAAGGTTAAAAAAAGAAGAAATCTGATTTTTTTCGTACCTTTTCCATATTTATTTTCATTTTTTTCCCCTTCTTCAATTTTATATTTTCTTATTTTTTTTGTTCCTTTCTTTGATATTTCCGTCTTTTTTCTCCCTTTTTCTGAAGCATTTCCAAAAAGATTCTTTCATTATCTGCGTCCTCATATTTTGAGAAGCAGAAATGTTACTTTTAAATATAAAAATAAGTTATATATATATATATATATATATATATATATATATATATATATATATATATATATATAAGACCAAAAAAAAAAAATATAGCGGTATATTTTAAAAGAAAGACAAACAACACCACTTTTTTTTTCAAACCAAGTCACGCGATTCTGAAACAAACAAATATTAAATAAATAAAAAAAAATAAAAAAACAAAAACAAACAAACAAAAAACAAAAATAAGTTTTCAGCATCTGGTTAAGAATGTTCCGCAACTGTCACCTTCTAAGTATTTTAAACATCATAACAAAATGAGTTTCAGAAAAATAAGAGAGCAAAAAAGATGGCGCTGACTAGGCCGATATTACCAACTCTGAGAAATGAATTGACAATGTTCATGAAACAACAATGAACCGTCGAACTGCAACATCATTTTTAATCTGAGAACTTCCAACATATTTAGAAAAAGAAAGAGAAAAAAAAAAGGTGATAAACTTGGACTGCAGCAAAAAGAAAAAAAATAAACAATCTGGCTCGTTCCATAACATCGATTTTGTTCTCAACGTCTCCAAGGAAATGTTTAGAAAAATAATATACAAAAAAAAAAAAAAAAAAAAAAAGAAGCTTTTCTTTTTTCAAACAACCAATGAGATGAATTCTATCGATAGAAACCATGAACAGAAGGTCAATCAGTTTATTTTGTTTGGAATCATTTTAACTGAGTAGATTTTTTTTTTTATTGTTATTATAATTTAAAAAGAAAATAGTTAAATTGGAATAGAAATATAATACATTTACAATAAATATTAATTAACATATTTTTCTATGCATTTCCTGTAAGGAGAACATTCTATAGCCAGCAATTTTATGAGAATAAACGTGAAGAGCTTACCTGATTGTCTTGTTTTGCATTTTTCTAAATATTTCTATGGCAAAGTTAGACTTTGTGCCAGCAAAAAAAAAAAAAAAAAAATATACCCCCCAAAAAACAATGTTTCAAAAAAGATTTTTTTTTTCTAACGACATCGCTATTATTTTAACTATCTTCACCCCTCGGCAATAATTATTGTTTTAAAAAACGACGATTAGAATTGTAATAAAACATAAAGATATGATGAAAGTGAATTTATGCATTTTCTTTGTTCTTGAGGATTTACAAGAAAAATATTGTAATGACAAAAGTACGCAGACGTAGACTTTAAGAAAGCTTTATTCAACTGAGAATACAAAATGCGCGTACAGTGTCCTCTTATAGTCCCAGTAAACAGACATAGCTCTCTCAAAGAGGAGAGTAACAAAACAAGGGGAGACCATTCTTGATTATACATAACGAATAATAAAAACTATTTATTTATTATTTTCAAGAATTATTTTATATTTACAAAACACTAAAAACTATTACAAATAAAATGAATGCAGTGCAATATTTATCATTTACCAATTTATAAAGAAATATATATGAAAACAATTTTTTATTCATTAATTTATAAAAATTTACTAAATTATTAAAATGTGTGCACCAACTATAAGGAAATCCCTATTATTTACCATTTTAGAAAGTTTGAACTAATTGGCAATTAGCCGATATTTTGCTAACCATTCCAATAAATAATATAATAAATAGATAATGTAAATAAAGAATTTAATATGTAAATAGTGTTTATTATTTTTGTTGCAAATACTTAAGAACAAAAATGTATAAATTCACTTTCATCTTATGTTTAATTTTTATTACAATTTAAATCATTGATTTTTAAAACAATAAATATTACCAAGGAGTAAAGGTAGTTAAAATAATAGCGGTGTCAAGGGAAAAATCGTCCTTTTGATACGCCTTTTTTTTTTTGTGAGCACGATGATCCAAATTTGCCATTTCTATTTTCTCTTTTATTAATCATTACTCAGTACCAAGGACTGGCCAAAATCACGTAAGTGACATCGGGTAGACGAAACACTTTTGAGGCCGTTAATGATTATGCTAGAACGATGTCATAAGTCTTCGTACACGAGGTTTTGAACATACTGACTTTATTCAACAACTGACCGTACTAGATTGCACGCTCTCTCCTAGAAACTGTAACTAACCTCCGCTCAGTAATAATTGTACGGCTTTGTGAGTGTTAACAAACACAAAATATACCTGAGGAGAGGTCTAACCAGGGTTAGCTAACCATTCTAGCAGACTCCATACTTACAAGATAATGACGGATACTTACTACTCTATTATTCACTACCCGAAAACCATTGTTTCTAATGCTATCTTAGACAGGCATAATAAAATCGACCCAAATTTAAAAAAAAATCCGTAATCCACATCAGGGCAAGTGGTCAATGTTTGAGATTAGGGAAATGCTAGAATTTCGTTGTTAATATTTTTAACACAATTAGTCTTTCTTCACTCGAAAGATTTCTGCAGGACTATCTTACTCTATTTTACATCGTGCTTCTTTAACTTTAGTAAATACTAGCAGCATGGCCCGGCGTTGCCCGTGCTTGATTAAAAAATCGTACGACTCATACAGCAATCGCTATCACTTGACTTAAAATATTTTTGCCTTTCCTTGCCTATAAAGGAGTGCCCTTTGCCGTGTTGATGTTGCTACACGCCTTACTTCTTTCCTATCTCACACTACGAATTTTTTCTAAGCTCTATACTAAACATTAAATCTGTTACGAAAAAAGAACTAAACAAAATGAACGCAAAACGATCAGTTTGAAAAAAAACTCGTAACTGGAAAAACCGAATGAAAAAAGAATGTTAACAACAAATACTTTTTCACACCCAACCCAGTTCTGCGGAGTCAGAATCAACGTTGAGTTTAAGCAAGCGAATGAGCCAATTGGAGTAAAGTGCCATACAGATTTAAATTTTTCCCACTTGTGACGAATGCAGCTATCGATTTTTTTTGCATGCTAGCATGCTAGTTAACATTCGTGTCAGTCAGCTGTTGGCTCTCACGCTGGCCAATAGAATCTTCCTGCCTATTCGTGGCAGCCAGCTATTGGCTCTCACTCTGGCCAGTAGAAAATGGCCACAAACTACATGAAAAGTTCCGTAGAAGCATGAAAAAATCGATTATTTCCACTATCGATGGGAGTTGTGAAATGCAAAGTCGGTTTTGGCCTTCCCGCTAACTTGGAGCATGTGCATGTAAATTTTGATGCAAATCCGTCGAAAATTACGGCCGTGCATTCACACACACACACACACACACACACACACACACACACACACACACACACACACACACACACATCCTGCCTTTTATAGATAGAGATAGAGCCATAAGAAGACAAACAAAAAACAAAAATAAGTTTTCAGCATCTGGTTAAGAATGTTCCGCAACTGTCACCTTCTAAGTATTTTAAACATCATAACAAAATGAGTTTCAGAAAAATAAGAGAGCAAAAAAGATGGCGCTGACTAGGCCGATATTACCAACTCTGAGAAATGAATTGACAATGTTCATGAAACAACAATGAACCGTCGAACTGCAACATCATTTTTCATCTGAGAACTTCCAACATATTTAGAAAAAGAAAGAGAAAAAAAAAAGGTGATAAACTTGGACTGCAGCGAAAAGAAAAAATAAACAAGGATGAGCCCAAAATGCGATTTGCAGGGGGGAGGGGGCACTAAAATCAAACGTGCAGAAGTTTAAATATCTAGGAAGTGTTCTGACGGGGTACAACACTGAGATCTGAAAACGGACTGGGATGGCCAAAGATGCATTTCAGAAGCTGGGTAGAGTAATGCGAAACAGGAGGACTTCTATGGTGACAAAGAAAAGAGTACTGTCCTCCTATACATCGAATGTTGTACGGTATCCTCAAGGTTGAAGAAGAGACTCGAGGCGGCGGAGATATGGTTTCTACAGATGGATGCTGAGGATATCATAGACCGAGCATGTGAGCAACGATGAGGTATTGGAGAGGATGCAAACAAGGAGGAAGCTTATGCTTAACATAAGGAAGAGGTAGATGAAATTTCTGGGGCAAATGATGAGAAAGGAGGGCTTGGAGAATTTGATACTCACGGGACGAATAAAGGGAAAAAAATACAGGGGAAAGCAGCGCATGACATACGTGGCGGGCTTGGGCATATGGATGGCGAAGCGTGTTTGGGAGAGTTGGTAGAAACACAAAACCTGTTGAGAGTCACAAGAAGTGGAGGGCCATGATCGCCTACGTCCAGAAAGGACACGGCACATAAAAAGAAAAGAAATATAGAGCCTGTCATAAAGCAAACTGTTGTAGAGTAGGATTTAGTGTACTTCCTTCTATTCCTTACTACAGTGACAATGGATTGCTTCTACCGATAAATATGGCAAGTAGCCATATTAGAGTAGGATTTTGAGTAGTATTTGATTTACACAAGTTTTTTCCGTTTTATGCATAAGTATTTAAAAAAACCCTCTTCTCCTTAGTTTCCTCTAACTAGTCTTCTGTTCCTTCGATAATCTATCTAGCTATGTCAGTAGCACGCAGAAGCTGGGGAGTAGCGGGTACGACGGCCCCGGGCATCCATATCGAGATGGCATCCAATCAAAGAGTGAAATAAAAATTTAGTTTATATTTAATTTGAAGAAAGTGTTTA